GGAGTCCTTCCAAATGTCTAAAAATGATTCATAATTTCAGAAACTGAATTTGATTCGGAATAGAACAAAGGGCCTAACACGTGAAAGAGGAACAATTATTTCTTCCTTACGACTTTCTTTCGATCGCGCAATTGCATAGTCAGATTTTGTATGCGAATTCATTGAACACTTATTAAATTGAAGACTGAGCGATGTAGTGGCTTCCAAAACAGTATGTTACACCAAGATCAAAAATTTCCTAATAAGCTTACTTAGTTTCAGAACCATATCACAGGATAAAAAACCTGTGGCATGGAAACAAAGCAGAAAAGTAAAGTTACCTCTGGCCATAATTAATTAAGCACCACGCCGTGAAGACGTATGGGGAAGTGGAGGTATAGCTCCGCCATTCCTAACCCCGGCACTAAATGGATGTTATGAGAGAAGAAAAATAATTTGTTCGTTCTTATTGATTTAAAAACATCAGATTTACCTCGAGGACTTCTGTTTTCTGGGGTATGTGTACTTGCTGCTGCTTTATGCTGGTCCCTTGCTTGGTCTACTCTTCGATCCTGAAGGTTGAGGAGACATGTTCCTCCGAAACGTCGGTCGAATTTTCAACGAACTACATGACATATCTCAGAATATAGTAGAACATTCCTTTAACCACTGCAGTGAGTACCTCAAATCCTACCCATATTTACCTTGTGTTGATTTTTTGCGTTAAGTAGATTCTGAAACAGTTGTCATTTGCGTGTTTATCTCCCCCTCTCTCTCTCCCCCACCCCTTTTCTAGAAACTTATAATCTCTACCTTATCCCCCGCTTCAAACATGCTGTGTGAAAACGAATACAGATAAAGTTGTCCCTGTGCTTAACTAAGTAAGCACTATGCCATGAAGGCGTATGGGGGAGTGGATGCATAGATCCACATTTTCTTGGCCTCGGTACTAACTAGAGTTGAGTGGTCATATTCACGCCCCGGCCCCTTTACCCCGGGAAAAGAACCCCGGTACCCAATTGGATAGGAGGCTGGCTGGACGACGTGGAGAAGAGAAAATTCCTGACCCTACCGACAGTCGAGCTCCGACCCCTCGATCCTCCAGCGCATAGCCAGTCGCTATGCCGACTACGCTATCCCGGCTCCGTGTGGAACGAATACCGTTAAATTATGTATCTTGCTTTTTCGACATTTCCTAATACAAGCTAAGCCAGCAGTCACTGTACATATACACTACACACGATAAAATCGCCTCAGTGTTAGTATTATGTTCATAACCTAGTACAGCAGATGGGCATCCCGTGTCGCAACTCACGCAGAGCGGTAAGAAGCATTTGCACCTACATAACACCAGTGCATGATTTGCAAGAAAGGGACGTCAGGCGTGTTGAATATTTTAAAGACGTAATTACTGCCAATAGAGGGGATATTCTGGACTTCACATTTATGGTCGACAAAGCGTCGTTTCATTTTTCCGGTTATGTCAACAGTCAAAACAGTCGAGTTTGATCACGGATTAATCCTCATAAAATCAAGGATAGACACGGTTGGTGTGTGACCCGTCATATCACGAAATCGGATATTCGGACTTATATTCTTCGACGACATTGGAAACTCGGAACGTTACAATGTAGTGACTGTCTACCCCTTCATTGGATATTCAAACGAGAACAATATCTCCCGCGGCTACTTCCAACTGCACGCCCAGCTCCTGTTTCCATGACGCTACTGTGTGGTGTGTTTCAGGGCAGAATAATTTCAAAGGACATCTAACCATCCCGGTCGTTCGATCTTACGCCCCCTGATTATTATCTTAATAAGCAATGGAAAGCGCAGTTTACAAAGACAATCCCTGACACTCTCCTTGAACTGAAGGAAGTCACCGCAAATTTTATCCGGAAAATCCTTCCGACAGAATTGTCGCTTGTCATTTCGAACAAGATAAGACGTGTAGATGCGTGTCTAAAGCACGTGGGGGCCACTTCCAACATTTGTTTTAACTTAAGTAAGTATGAGAAATTCACTTGTATTAGTGTACAGGGAATTTCTGAATATACTCATCGTTTACTCTAGGTGCACAGGGACTCGAACTGTACAAAATTTCTCATACAAAGGCAAAAAATAAGTACCGTCACACTAGTATCCCAAGTAGTTCCGTTTCATAAAACTCAACACATGGAAGTAGAGGCTTTTCTTCCAATTTCAAATAACTATACAAGGATGTTATAACATGATTTGACAACACAGTCCAGGGTGACTCAATATACAATGTGTTTCACGACTTTAGGGCATAACTGCAGGAGGTGATTTCCTAGGTCTTTGTCATCAAAAAAGTTCATATAAACATGTGACCGTTTTAAACTCAGAATAGAAGGTAAAGATTACCGACAATAAACGGAACAAAATAATAAACCAGCATAATACATGATACATTTAAAGTATGAATGTAAAGTTAACTTCGTGAAATTACCTTTAATTCGAATTTATTGGTGCTTAAAGCTGATTTTCGAAAATGCCACTGCCGGCCGCAACACAGGCTGCCGCTCGGTTGTGAACCGCGCCGGACATACCAACCCACCACGCCTTAGGTACCTCTCAAGTGTCAAGATAACGAGAACGCTCTGTCTGTAGCTGGCTAAAGATAGCGACCTGCCAGCTGCGGTTCACACGAGGGCGTGCAGGGGAATGAAAAAACGGTCATAACTCCGTAACCGTCCAAAATCGGACACATGTTTATATGAACTTTTTTGACCACAAAGACCTAGGAAATCACCTCCTGCAGTTATGCCCTAAAGTCGTGAAACACCCTGTATACACAAACATATACTCGTATGAAAGTGTACACTCACACAGACACAGACACAGAGTGACCCAGGCTATAGCAACTCCACAGATTCAGAATACAAAGAAAATTGTTACAGCATGGTTGAAGAAGCCATAAATTTTGTAAGCAAGTACATAAGAAGTAAAGTTTTGACCAGACTCTGAGATATGTGACATTCAGTTTCTTGAGATTGCTCATGAAAGTCATGCCATGGCTTTGTGTCTGTGATCGAAGTAGAAACTGAATGTTGTTGCTTCGGAAGTGCAATCATACTGCAAGGCCTGTGGTGCCAGAAGAAGGGTCAATGTCTAGCTATTAGAACCTTGCATAAAATGTAAACTCAGTCATCAGGACAGTGCTGCTAGCATGGAGTGTAATGAGATGAAGTGAAGTATGTAAAAACATAGGAGATAGTGATACATGGAGTTGTAAAAATGTACATGATCTCTGTCACATCAACACAGATTGAAATAAAAAGATAAATGTATGGGTCCTATTAAGAAATGAGGACAAGGCTATGAAATCTCAGTGAAGTGATATGATCAGATAAAAAGGGTTCTGGAGACCTAGGGACACTCTTTCACCCAATTACTGAGAAACTGCAAGTATACCAGAAAGATGGAGCTGCAATAAGGTCTAATAAAAACTGTCTTGATGACATAAGAAAGGGAGGACAACTCAGTTTTGTCACGGTTCCATTCATTTAGACCCTACATCATGTCTTCTGTTCACTATATCCAATTATAGCGTGAATGTCAATGTGCTGCAGCTGACAATACTGTAGGTGATTATAAGAATCCATTCCAAAGCCATCATGGAAGAAATACAGTCTATTTTCAGCGATCTTTATGCTGCTGAGTTGCTTTGAAGTTGCCTCCAAGGATACAAACAGAATTCAAATGAATCATTTAACAATAAGATCAATGTGCCCAAAGACCATGGTCATAAGATGGTGAAGACTGCCAAATAAAATGCAGTGGCTGTTCTCAATGATGGTAAAACTCATACAGTAAAACAAAAATACTGGAGAGGTTAGATGTGCAAATTCAAAATTTTTACTATAAACTTTAAGAAAGTGTGACTTCATGTGATGAGCCACATATACAGAAAAATGGGCTTGTAAAAATACACTTGAGACATGGAAGACCATGAGAACCTTAAGACTGAAAAGAAATGGAAATATTGAGAGGGAGGGTACACATATGTTGCAGGCACTTGTCAGAGTACAAAAAACAGAACAAACTCCGTGGCCTGTAGTCCACAAGCGAACTATACCGACCGACTGAGCGACTGCCGCTTATCGGAGAAGTTAGTGCGAACTTTAGCAGATCGAGTGTGTCACTGGGTCAGCACAACTGATCCCAACAGCCATTAATCACGATTTTCTAGACCAGAGCCAGTATTTCCTTCAAATAGCTCCTCAGTTATCCTCATGAGGCTGAGGGGACCCCCTTCCAGACCAACTACTTCTCAGAAAATCTGGTAGCACTGGGAATTGAACCTGGAACCTCTGGATGAGTAGCCAGGAACTCTGACCACTAGACCACAGAGGCAGTCTGTTAGAGTACAATGCAAATAAAAATGCTTTATTTGTCTCATTCACCCAGAATTTTGTATAAATATGCAACTTTTTAAAATCCACAATTTGAACAAAATATTTCAAAGAGAAATGAAACAAATTTAATTTAAAATTTCTGAAAAACCAACAAGAAAAGGTCATCATATTATAAAAACTGGAAAAATTGAAATTAACAGTACTGCCATGTTGAAATTGCTTCATCCTTGAAAATTTTATGTTAGCTTACACAAAAAATTAATAATTATCTTCATAATAGATCTGACTGTTTTTTTGATGCGACATACAAAGTAACTTTCATCAAGATATTTTTTTTTATTTATGAAGGGGTGAAAAGCTGCTGTATACCGTTGTATTAGTTAATAAAGCATGACCTACAGATATTCAAATTTTCAAAATTACTTATAAAGATTCAGTCCAAATGTGTAACATTTTCTGACATGAAGACTCGCTGTATCTTTACTGCTGAATGAAACCTTTTGTGGTTTCCTAAGCGATGTATGTACACAATTCTTGTTGTCCTACTTCTCACCATTCTTGATTTAATCAACCTACACGTAATGAGCATAAATTGTGAATCTCCCTCATTTCATCCTAAATACCAATGATTGTATTTTACAGGGGATGTTCATTGTGTCACTGCCATTTGCCGTGTTGAGAGGTGGATACTGGGCAATAGCAGCCATGATTGGAATCGCATACATCTGCTGCTACACAGGCAAGATCCTAGTTGAATGTCTCTATGAGGAAGATGCTATCACGGGTCAGCGGGTGAGAGTACGGGACTCTTACGTTGCCATTGCACGAGAATGTTTTGGGCCCCTTTGGGGTGCACGAGCAGTAAATATTGCGCAGATGATCGAGCTTCTCATGACATGCATCCTGTATGTTGTGGTCTGTGGAGATCTCATGATTGGTACCTTTCCTGAGGGAGCTGTTGACTCCCGGAGCTGGATGATGCTTGTTGGAATATTTCTTGTACCCTTGGGTTAGTATCATTACCACTTTATTTCGGGATATTCATGTAAATTTTTATAAAAGTTGACAGATAAATTAGTACAGAAATGTTATTGTTGTTGTCGCTGTTGGCCAATCTGAGTTTTGGTCTTTTCTAAACATAACAATTTCTAAATTCTGTTTATACTGTAATAGGATTCTGTGGATAGGATGTTAGTTGTGTATACTTTCTGAGGTCAAAACAGAAAAACGTGGACAAATATTTTCTGAGTGGGAGTTTAACCTGTAATTGCAGTGTTCAGCAAATAATATTAACAACTCAATGTTTTCTTAGCTTTTGGCAGATGGTTTGTGTTGTGTTTGATTTATGTACCCCATGTTGGAGCTGGCATAGGTGTCTGGAGATAGGGACTACCTCTATTGATTGGGCTCAACTGAGTAGGTTATACCTGAAGAGGGAGACTGAATGCAGTCTTCGAAATGTTGTTTTGAAAAATAAACAGGATGGCTTTTAGATAAAGACAAGATGAAAATTATGTCAAAAAACATAATATTTCTAATAATGTACCATCATCACAAACTTTTAGATCTTATTTATATTATATTTAATTTCAATTGCAGATGTGAAGATTTTTAGAACATGCAATAAATAACACAGTACTACTGTCAAATGCTGAAAGAGAAAGAAATGGACAGAATTTTTAACCAGTTCAATCAAGTTTACCAACTGCATACCTTACTTACTTTTCAATATTGATCTCATTCGTGGTATTCAAAACCATGCATATAGTTCTTGTTTCCCACATCCAAGTAATATTTCCAATCCACTGTAACCTTCAACGTTTGATTACATTAATGTTACTATCAAAATGTAATTCTTCTCCAGCTGTGACAGATTAGTTCCTTGGGCCTCTTACAATTAACAGTTAATTCTGAAATAATTAATACCTTAGACTTTTGACCAGTCTTTAGATCAGGATTTACTTGACCCAAAACCTTTACCTACATCGGAAGACATCATACAAAAAAATGTGGACATGAACTTAAGACCCTTGTGCATCATCCAAGACCATGCATGCCTTACAGCAAGAAGCCAATCTTATTAATCGAGTTCCATGAAGGTAAAGTAAAAGTGTCCCTGTAACAGGCCGTGGAGGCCCATAGAGTTGTGAGATGTTGAGGTTCCCACATTTTATAGACCATCAGCTCATAGATGGCGGCAAAGTTTTCAGCCCTACGTGCCCCCCCTTTCCCCAAGAACATTCCAAGAATATTCCTGGCACTCATTTCTGTTAGAGGCTAAGTTGACCCCAGGGCCATAGTGCGGCTGGAAGGATTAGGTCAATTGAAAAAAAAAATCCAATGACCTCATCGGGACTTGAACCCATGACCTTCTGGCTTGTATCATAGTACCTCAACCAAATACGCTACCACGTGCCCCCTATTCCATGAAGGTTGGCTTTCAAAATATTAGCCCATTTTTAAAAAAAAATATCATATATTGATAGAATCCCATCTGAAACACAAACACATTGCTGTAGTATTCATGAAATTCAGCATTTTGTATAAATAGCATTACTACAGTGGAATGGAATGTTTGTTGGCTTGTCCATTGGTTAATGGATTTAAAGTCGAAACTTTACTAATTAACTGTGACTCTTGACATATTAACCAAGTGAAATGAACCTTAAAAAATAATGTTATACAATCTTCACACAATTTTTGGCAGCGACCATTTGCTCCACACTAGTTCTAACAGTTACATTGTCACAAGTCATTATACTTCAGTTAGGTATTGACATTTCTTCCACACTAAGTGTAATGGTTTATGTTATAGACACTGATCTGATTGTCCATGTTGCAGGGTTTCTCAAGTCACTACACATGGTGTCCGTGCTGAGTTTCTGGTGCACCATGTCCCATTTAGTCATCAATGCCATCATTCTTGGCTACTGCATCTTGGAGATTCCAGAATGGGGATGGTCCAAAGTCAAATGGAGCATTGACTTTGAAAACTTTCCCATCTCACTTGGTGTTATTGTCTTCAGCTACACATCACAGATTTTCCTTCCCACACTGGAAGGCAATCTCATTGATCGATCCAAATTCAACTGGATGCTCGACTGGAGTCACATTGCAGCAGCTGCCTTCAAATCCCTGTTTGGCTACATCTGCTTCCTCACATTCCAGGATGACACCCAACAGGTCATCACCAACAACCTGCATTCCCCTGGCTTCAAAGGTTTGGTCAATTTCTTTTTGGTACTCAAGGCTGTGCTCTCTTACCCTCTTCCCTATTATGCAGCTTGTGAGCTTCTGGAGAGGGCTTTTTTCAAAGGCAGACCAGAGACAATATTTCCCACCATATGGGCTCTTGATGGAGAACTGAAGGTGTGGGGTTTGGCATTTAGGGTTGGAGTGGTTGTGGTTACTGTTCTCATGGCAATTTCTATCCCTCACTTTGCAATTCTCATGGGTTTTATTGGTAGCTTTACTGGTACAATGCTTTCCTTTATTTGGCCATGTTACTTCCACCTCAAGCTAAAGCGACCGCATCTCGACTGGGGTACTGTTGCCTATGATTGTTTTGTCATCTTCCTTGGTTGCCTCTTTGGGATCATTGGGGTCTATGACTCTGGCTCTGCTCTCATCAAAGCATTTGAAATTGGATTGCCATTCTAAATATACAATAACCTTCATCAGTACAGTGGTTTGTTAATCTGGCATACTGGAATTAGCGTGCAGCTATGGGAAGTTATTGTTGGGTAGACAGAATAGACAAAGAGGTGGGATTACACTGGTATAGTATACATATTATCATGAAAGACATAACATTACAGAAAGTAACTTCAGGTCTTGTAGGCACTGAAAAGGCCACTTTCAAATTGGTTGTGTCATTCATATGTTTTCCTGTAGTTTGTGGCACTGTGTCCTATCCAGGGTTCCTGAAATAGGTTATAGCAAGTGCTGTTATACTAATCATAAATAATGCACTCTTATACCTTTCATAACGGATGTATACTTAGATATAAATGACTGTTGGGGTCAGTAGCAAACTACATGTGACTTGCAGATTAGGGTATAAGAGTATCCACCACATTTCTTTTTGCAAGCTGTTAATAAAATGTTAATGAAACTATATTTGAAAATAACAAAGTAACAGACCAGTCTTTAGAAAACAGTTTAGCAGATTATAGAAACCAGTAAATACTAGTTAGCAGCTTGCTGTTTATGCATATTATTCATTATGGATTATTCTTACTGGGGTGAGACTGAGTCCACTTGGTACTGCAGCCACTACCAGCCCAAGATAACAGATAATGGTGACTGTGCAGCAATTGGTGGAATGAACATTGGCAGGGGAAACTGAAGTACTCGGAGAAAACCTGCCCCAGCGCCACTTTGTCAATCATAAATCCCATATGACCAGATCTGGGCTTGAACCCGGGCTGCCGCAGTGGGAAGCCAGTGACTAACTGCCTGAGCTATGATGTGGCCTTCCTTATACACGTAATGTAAAAGGAATTTCATATGACAAATGAAAACACAATTTAGCCAGAGTTACCTACCTTTGTCAACAAAAACCCTTCTCCTTCTTCCAGCACAGGATACTCCCACATCCTGTGCAGTCTTGTGACTGGTGATTGGGGTCTTCTTTCTGTCTCCTGAGATTCTGCTGGCTAGCCTCATTAGGCACAAGTGCCAATTAAATAAGTCATCTTCACAGCGTCACGTTGAAATATTAGAGCAAGTGGCCACATTAACTATCACCTTTCCTTTGGACCTGATCCAGGAATTCATTTTCACCCACCATCCTGACTTGGTGTCAATTACATGAACTTTTGAAGAACTTCACATCTTACTTTAATTTAGACTTGATATTTGTAATAAATAGTTCCCTTTATTGTATTACAGTAGTCATATCTACGGGAAATTTTAAATAGCAGTTAAGGGCAAAGTTTAACCAGAGGGGGCCTACCTCTTCCAACAAGAAACCTCTCCCCTGGAACTGAAGCCAGAATAGATTCTCTAATTGGCATAACTGTCCCAGTGTGGATCCTGAATCTTTGTATTCTAGAGTAGGAAAGGAAAGGGGGGGGGTGAGAGTGCAAAGATCATGAGAGAGCCAGGGGATGGCACAGTAGTTCTGGGCACTGCTACCAGCTGACTGAGTGAAGACGACTGTAGCCATTATGCATGGCTCAAGGTTTGTAGGATAGCAATAGCATTAAAAAGAACATTGCTTATAATGAGAAATAAAGTTTACCATAAATTTAAGTGCCATTGACAATAATGAACAGTATTATTCTGAAATTGATGCTGTAAAAGTTGACTTGTACAAGAATCGACTCTCTGTCAAATGACCAAGTTGTCTTGTAAATGTATAGATTGTTAAGGGATATATGTGTGCATTTAACAAGTCTTCCATATACGAAGAAAATATTCATGAGAAATTGAGGAAAGAATCCTAATACACAGAAAATAAGTAACATGGAATTGCATTTATTGTTAGGAATGATTCCAAATCTTTGAACTGAGTCATACGTGTTAACAGGATAAACAGAATTTTAGTTCAGAAACTAAATCTTACATGGGCATGTCACTGCATTAAACAAATAAAATGCAATTACAATATATTCATTAAATATATTATACTTAATTCTTATATATGCCTATGAAAGTATAAATCAATGGTGTCTAGTACTTATGTAACTGGATGTATTCATCCACACTGAAACTATGTCTTCCAAAACATTGTCCAATTTATGAATATTCCAACAAATACAATGTCTTCCACATACAAGGTCCTATATCTATAGGAGAATTATGCCTTGGGATGGTGAATGAGGTTGCCCAACCCATTATCATTCTCTGTCAAGTAACAATTTTTAAATGACGTCTTCCATAAATAACATTCTGCAGAAATTACATGGATTACTACAATCTGTTTTGCATGTTGTATTTCTGGGACTATGCAGTACATTGTGATGACATCCTGTTCACCATCCCTGTATCATAGGATAGTGTTTTTATATTATCATTCATTCCATTTTATAAAGATATTTTAATTTATTCCTTGTAGCCATATAACTAACAAATGGCATGATTTATTTTCAGAATGTGAGATTAATGTGAGACTAACGTTACACTAATATTATATATATCCGAAGTCTTCCAACATATGAGAAGTGTTAAATGTACAGTTGTTTCTTTGTATGTTTAATTCAAAATTAAGTGATGTGCTATTGCCTGGGACTTGAAATACAACACACACAGGCAAGCAGTAAAATGTCAGTAACTGCTTTTAATATTCCAATAACAGGAATTCATGTACCCTCCTTTAGCACATCACTGTCCATCTCATATTTGCCTCCATAATATTTTGAGTCTCTGGTTAACTAACTAAAAAAATCTTCTCTGCAAGGAGATACAAATTTTATTGAATGCATATATAGTAAGAAAGCTAGTTAGATGTTGATGTTTCAAGAATTTTTACTAAATGTTTATTCAGAATCATTTCATGAATGGAAAGAGCAATAAACCCTCATAATTTTTACTCTGGAATGAAATCTAGTGGATAAGAACAATAACCCACCACTATGTGTGTAGTAGTATTGTTATTAGCTGTTATTATTGTTACAATAATGGTATCATGAACTTAATGGTCGTATGTGTTTGGTATCCCAAATACAAATAAATACTAGGAATATTTCAGGCTGTAGAGAAGCAGCAGCTTCCATACTTGCACACAGTTAATGACAGTCTGCACAGGTTCTGCATTTATAATTCTCAGGTTCCCATAAGAATTTAGATTTTATATTAACTGATACAGTGTACAATTACTTACTGTACAAGTTGCTTTATGAAAGTCATTATCTTTTTCCACTTGGCAACAATGGACAGAGTAAAGAAATTGGTCCACCAAAAATAAATTTGTGTCTAACTACCCCTTTAAAAGAAAGTATGTTATTGACTTAATAAATATAGACTTAACATGCTCTTTTCATATACAGGAAAATCTCATTTTTCCCCACTGCAGATTAAATACAGATATCTAAAATGTGATGTACTCATCATGCAAGTACACTCCCGTGTACTGCCCCATATGGCAAACATAAATTGCAAGGAGTCATCACATATTTTCATAATTTCATTCAAGAGCAACCCTTTCTTGTCTCTAACAAGGAAATTGTTGTATATATATATTATACCTGTATAGATTAACTTATATATTTATTTAATGCCATTTTACAAGAAAATTATCTACTGAACCATTGACAGCATGAAGGGCATTCAGAAAATGGATTATACTGCACATGGTGTACTCAGTTAATTCAAAGTTCATGTTAGAACGCAACTACATGAGTGTAATACTTCATATAATGTATTTCTTACAGTTTTTAAGACTGGATCACTGTCAAAATTCATAGTAATACATGTGAAGTCTATGATACCAAAGTAAATGTTTGATGTGCAATATGGTTAAACAGTGTAGGCCTGTGTGTTGCAATGGAATGGTTATGTAGATTCACTAGCAGAATTCAGATAGTTAATGATGAATATAGGCCTGTATGCATCAAAGATCATCATCTGGGTTAACTGTATTAATTTCAGTTCCAAAATAATTTATATGAACATTACATTCATTTAAGAACTTCATACTTTAACATATAAGGCCATATTTAAACTTCTGTAATAAATATTTTGTACATATTCATCCTATGCTGCCTGATTACTTTTGCCACCTATGCACATTTTAAAAACAGCGTAAAAGCACTGATAATTCTAGCCGAACAAATTTTGCAGTCTGCATCAAAATAACCTACCAGCACTATTTACTTATATGGACATTTTTCTGCATTCAGCTGAGTCTAAAATAAAACTTATGGGGGGAGGCCTATTCTTCTTTTACTAATGCTGGTAGTTCATCACTATTGCATGTAGTATGCTTAATCAGCATACAAGAGCTAAATAAACTACAATACCTCATGACTTCATAAATGGCAGACAATGAATTCAGGTTCAACTATATATTTACTTCATTTACATTGATTTTATGAAAAGAAAAAACAATACATAATTTTACCACCTACTGTCAATAATACTGGACTTTTTTTTTTATAGGAAAGGGTGTTTTAGTAAGCATAAATCAAAACTGAATCTACATTCACACATGCAATATTAGTACTGAAAAACAGGAGACAGATTGGAGAATCCATTATTTTTAAGAAAACTGGTAAATTGTACACATACCTTCTTTCATTGAAGTACAATGTGAATACATACACAATATATCACTGGTAATATCAAAGGGGGAAAAGATCAAGCAGTGAAAGAGTATGGGCAAATTATTTAAATGTGTTTTCTTTATATTTTAATATACTGATATTTCATTCGAAGGTGAAGTCAATTATCTCACTAACAAATGCATATGCTCCTAAGATGTAGTTTGGCATTCTAACAACTTCAGACAGTTCACTTTATGCTTCATAATGGCAATGCTCCTTACCACTAATACCATTTCATGTCTAAACATTCTCAAGGGTACTTCACACATTGAACAGGCAATCTTACTGGGGGGGGGGTTCTTTTATATGTTGAAAGTAGTGTGTGGTAGCATTCTAACAATGATGGAACTATTTCCATCACTATCTCACGATGAAGCATCAAACATGTTCTATACACAGTATACCATTTATGTGATCAACATTACACAGTTCAGAAACCTTCATAAAATATGTAATATACAGGTATTTGTTTTATATACTTAAGCACTTAAGAAACATACACTACTGAAAACTGCCATATTATATACTTACACTTTGTGTGTACTCCTATATTTAAAAGAGCCAGGGTAGCTCAGTTAGTACAGTAACTATGTATGGGCTGGGTGACCAGAGAGTAAGGGTTTGGTTCCAGGGACAGGCAGAGATTTCTCTCTTTGCCATTGCATCCAGATTGGCTCCGGGGCCCAGCCAGCCTATCCAAAAGGTACCAGGGGCTCTTTCTAAGGAGGTAAAGTGGCTGTACCTTCTTTCTCACATAAATGGAATGGTGCACATATGCACAGGGGAAACCCTGTCTTTTATCTACAATTAAAAGAATAAAGGTGAAATGTTCGCAAGTATAAATTATATTGGTCAAAAAAGTGAAAATGAACATTCATTCTAAATAATAAATCAGAACTGATAATATAAGAATTATTATAATTTTCTTTACCTTTTACTGTACACCATTAGTTGGTGGGTGAAGAGCCATGTTTGCTTCTCATAATGTGAGGGAACTCCTCGTTTTTTAATGTTCTTTATTAAACTGGTATTCATTTAACAAATCAACAGCCTTGACTTTCATTTACTCTCTAATACAAGTTCGACTCACATGTTCCACATGAGAGTACAATGAAGCAGAGCTATAAGAGGTGTGTAGTTGTGGGCATCCATAGAATGTTCATCCTTAACCACATTTTAGTCTTACTGAAAACAATATTCAGTCCCAGATGATGCAGAAAACACTTTCTAGTGAAAAATATAATTCACAAGAAAATGCAATAATACAAGCAATGTTGATAGTGTGTTAGTGTGAAATCATTCCTCTCAAGATTTTAACTGAAATTAAAATTATATTTGACAGTTATTTATGAAGATATGTCTCCTGTCAGCTGTAACAGTGAAAGACGAGTCATAGGAAACAAACCACATTCTACAGTTCTGATTACTAAATTTTTTTTTGCATGCTTGCTTAAGCCACCTAACAAGCTGGAAAATATGCTGTGTTGTATAAATAATTATCATCATGTACATTTTGTGTTAAGTCCAAATGCAGAAACTCAAAACTTCTGCTGTTCAGATAATATTAAGTTTTGAGAAGGTCATTATTTCAAAAACAGCTCATTGTAACAGAGAACTGTATACAAAATCAAATTATTTAATTTTTGCAAGCTCTGCAGTATGTTATAACAATGGCAAACCTCATGGAAGAAACTTGACATTAGAGCTGCTGCTGTTAGTGGTGGCCATTATGTACCTTATATAAATGTACATAATGTTATGAAATGCTAATTATGCTTCCCTTCATCTTTTGTGTGCTTCTATGACACAGCACTTCATTTTTCATAATTTGTCATACAGGAACATGATGGGAGACATTTTTGGGAAGCATGTTCATTAACATATATTCATTTCTTGATGCTTTAAAATCTAAGTTTTTGTGTAATTTTCTAAAATTAATATTCTTGGCTGAAGGCTCTATATAATTATTGTATTTAATGGAAGGAAAGTGAAGGTTTCTTCAGTAGGTTGCATCTCTTTTTGAATACACTGTATATAATTTTAATGAACATACTTTTGATGTGGTGAATATTTCATGAGATATTCCGAAACTTTATTTAAACATTAGAGTAAAATGACCATCCAGAAAGTGCAAATAAGATCTTAGATATGAAACTGATACCTTCAGCTAAACTGGTCAAGGTGTATCTTGTTACTGTAGGTTATTTAACAATGCTTCAAGTTTTGAGACTGCACAGCGTTAGATGTTATGATAATTGAATGATGAATCTGAAAGGGTTTGGAAGGGAGTGGGAGTGACCTAATCAAAGTCCTATTCTAGAATTTGTCTGGAAAGACTGAGGAAATCCATGAAAAACCTCAGTCAGGATAGTCAGTGTCTTGGCCGAGATTTGAAATAAGCATCTCCCAAACACAGGTCTAGGGTGTAACCACTAGGCCAACCTGTTCAATGTCAACCTATGTCCATTTAGTATGCTTACCTGTTATGTTACCAGGGGGCACACGGTAGAGTAGTTGGTTGAGGCACCATGCTACAAGCTGGAAGGTCACGGGTTCAAGTCCCGATGAGGGCATTGCATTTTTTTCAATTCACCTAATCCTTCCAGCCGCACTATGGCCCTGGGGTCGACTCAGCCTCTAACAGAAATGAGTACCAGGAATTAATTAAATAATTTTCCTGGGGAGTAAAGCGCGGCCGGCACATAAGGCTGACAACCTTACCGCCATCTTTAAGCCGATTTTCTAGATAATGTGGGACCCTCAACATCTCACAACCCTATGAGCCTTTACGGCCTGTTACAGGGGCAGCTTTACTTTACTTTTTACTTTTACTTTACCTGCTATGTTACCACCAGGATTCCAGTGACTATCAACACATGGAACAAGATGTCACAACCATACATACCAGATGTAAATATGGAGCTGAGATAGCTCAGTTGTTATATCAACTACACCATGTGTTGGACAGTCAAGGAATCAAGGTTTACTTTCCAACAGAGGCATGAGATTTTCCTCTTCTCTGCATCATCCAGATCATCCCTGGGGAACATTCTGCCTCATGTCCAGTAGATACCGGGGATGGGACGCCTGGAGGCTGAAGCTGAGTACTCAACTGCATTCAGTTTTATGCTTAAGAATGCATGGAGCCATACTTCCAATCCTCCATACATCTTCAAGGCATGGTGCTTAACTAAGCATAGGGATTTCTACCTTTAGTAGATGTAAATGTTAAACAGATACTCCTTGATCTGTCACAGTTGTGTTCCAAAAATAGTCACAGAGGGTGAAATTGCATAAAATGAACATAATTTTTCCATATGAACAAAAAAAATTTATGAGACTGGCTAAAAAAGTTATCACAGCATTCTTGCCACTACTTAAACTCATTGCTTTATGCAGTACAGCACAGTGAGACTTCCATAACCTTCCAAAGGCCCTATGCCCCTCACCATTTCCATTTTCACCCAGCAACACACTGATCCAAACTTTGGCTTCTTTTGAAATATATGTCTGCCTTTATTTTCTTTTCTAAAAATCACACCTCATCAAAGTTGAAGATCTGTTTTGGGGAGTACCTCCATTCCCCAACAAATTCTCCGTATTCCTCAGGACACTTAGAAACTACAACCTCATCACCACCTCTTTCTTTCCTGTTTTAATTGATTAAATCAGCCACTCCTGGCATTAAACTCCTCCTCTTCTTTGGAAGGATAATCACTCTTGATAGCATTATAAATATTTTTCTCTTTTGTTATGGTTGTCAGCTCTGCATGATTTTCTTCTTGTTTGACTCTGTATTCAAGTTGAAAGTACTTTTCATATTGTTTCTACTATCTCTGGTCTTGTTGGCATTTTAGCAGAACTTGAAGATGCACTTACACAACATTTAATTTCTCCTGCACTATTACAAATATTCCTCAGTGTACATTCTTGAACTTCTGTGGCATGAACAATGTCACATGTCCTTTTGTTTCTTTTGATGACAAATCACATCTGACTTTTGTACAAGATGTACTGTTTCTCTTACTCTCTCTGCTCCTGATTTGTTCTTACCACTAGCAGGATGCTTCTTATCTTTTCCGCTTATTACTTAATTATTTTAAGGATTAATAAAGAAATAAAAGATAAAAATATGCTATATTAGCAATTATAGACACTTGAATGGTAACAACGAAATACTGTACCAAAGGTCTCCCCTATCTCCTCAAAGGGTGACAGCAGTAGATGCAGAAAAGGTGTGCAGCTAGACCAAATTTTCCATTCTCTTGTCATATACATCCAACATCATCCACACAGTATTCTACTACATGTTTTCCCCACCGTTCGTGGGCAGCCAGCATGCAATTTGCATTAAAACGAGCGCCATCAATTTATATAAATCCAAATTAGTTGACTGCATTAAAATGATATCACATTTTTTTAACTTGCACAAGATAAGGCATAGCTTCATTATCATGAGTCAGCTAGCATTCACATTCCATCACCCAAGATCCTTGTATGTCTTTTTGGCTTAAGTTGTATTATGAAATGCCAACTTGTTCATCAATTCTGTGTTATACAATGTTCTTTCTCTTCTCACCTATCATCCTAATGTATCCTAGTGTTACTAGGATATTAAGGCATCCTGTGAAAAAATGTGATGGTGAGTACTTGAAGTGAGCGGTCACTATATATGTATTGTCAATTATATCACACCGGGCAATAAATATGGGAATATTTAATTGTCTCTTGAAATACTTGTGAAAGCTGTTAAACCTCTTATAATACAAAAAGAACGAGGAAAAGAAATATGATACTAAGATTTGAAATATGCCTACTGAAAACAAGCAAGATGAGATAAATTCCAAAACAATTATAATGTATAATCAGAGCTTTGAAGACATAGGTATAGATGGAGTTACACTCATATGCAAAAATATGATTTGATAATGAAATATAAAATTATGTTGGGCTGTTTTAATGTTTAGAAATATTTTAAGCTAAACAAGATAAAACTACATAAATGTGTTAGTAATAGCTGTTGTGAAATGGAATGCAATAAAACATGTTAATTTAAGAAAGGTTTTTATACAAAACATACAGATGTTTAGCAACTGTATCATCCTTGCCAACATTTACCATATTCCTCTTTCAATATAACTTCATTATGTCCTGACATGCATTTTGTCCAGTTTTTCCAAGGAAGGAATTGCTGACACTTAGAATAAACACAGGTGAGTTTCTCATACTATTAAGGCATTATGGGTAGTTTTGCAGGTATTTAATCACTGTACATCATAAGACATTATTAACATTACATATCATTGTGTATCCTACCTTTCAGGTCCCTGAATCTTGCTATTAGGTGCCAGTAATATTGAAAATACAGATATGAAATTTAAAATTGCATTAAACTGTAATCGGATTACTATGCAACAGCATAAAATGCGATACAAAATCATTTTCAACTAACTCTTTGTAATTCAGTGTTCAAAAATCAACATGTTAACATGTAAAATCACATTCAAGAATGAACCACAAAAGGCTGAAGATAATATTCCAGGTCAGTGTCTTCTTAAATTAATTTTCCATTAATTTTGTGACACACCCCACACACACACAAGTTGTACAATTGCTCTTCTTACAATAGCCATGTCTGTATGTTTGCCTACATGCAGTGCTTGATGTAGAATGAAAACAGAACTGGGATGCCATGCCGCTGCATCCTGCCCCACCTCAAGCCCTGGGTATTGTACATTGCATTTACTGCCAAAGAAGTAACGGGATGCTTTTAAGCCATTTAGAAAAGAACCGGGATGCCATCCCGCCGCATCCTGCCCCACCTCAAGCCCTGCCTACATGTAACAACCCAAGTACTACTGAATGGTTTTCATGAAATCTGACTAAATACTGGGGAGCTTTTACAAAAATTTGTCAATACATTTTTAGTTCAAAAAGGTCAACAATGCCTGGTCCTTAATTCTTAGACACTAAACAAAAACTAAGATGGGTATTCGAGGTATCCAAGAGAACTATGTCAATGTTTTTCGTTCATTTTGACCCCATTCATCCCACTATAAGTTGAATGACATGTTTGAAAATATAGGCACATAATGTGAAAATCATGCAGTTTTGATGTCCTCATGATCTATATGTCTCAAGATCACAAAACATTAGGGGAAAAAAAGGAGAGAGAGAGAAACAACAGAAAATTGTATTTATTACACCCAAATGGCACATCAGGCTTCACAGATTATACCTAGACTGAAATAATCTTTACTGATGAAATTGCAAGAAACTAAACCAAGGAAGTAAGTAGGAGTGGTATCATAAAATGTGTATTTCTGCTCAAGGATATCATAATATTCTTACCCACACAGCACACAGACTCATTGCAGACTTCTCAGACTTAGGTAACAGTCTTAACTCTTGACTAAATTTAAATACTGGATCCTTTTTCTTCTTACCTCAGGTTTTCCAATTATAATCTTCAGATTAACGCAAGACTTTTAACATTAATCTCGAACTTTTCCACTTCCATTGTAATTTATCTTTCCTTAAGTACTTCACATAGTTTTTAGTTATAGGCAATTCCTTTTCTGTGACATAAAATTCATTAACTGTCCTTCACACCATGCCCTGACTGAAGTCATACACCTCAGTAGGTGGCATCTGTCATTTTATTCCTTTGCTGTGCCAAAAGGGCAGGAAGTGTGTGGGCTGTCTTCTATAAGGGGTTTTCTCTATCTTAATTCCTGCGTCAATGATCTCCAGATCTCAAAGGCAGCAGATGTTCCTTCCTCACATTCATGGATCCTGATGCGATACTTATCTTCTGTTGTTGTGGCCACTTTTCCAGTTCACATGACTTCCTTTTCATGATTTCATGAACACTGCTCAGCATTGCTTGACTATGAAGTTTTCGTTTCTCACTTTGGATATAAATTTAGCTACAATCACATGAAGGACAGAAGCAGAAGAAACAAGCAACAGGAACCAACATACCGTATTTACGCATGTACGCAGCACAATTTTCAGACAGAAATTATAGAAAAAATAATTTTCTTGGAATATTATTTATTACTAATTATGAATATATATGTTTTTTTAAATGAAGTGTGATTTCGAATATTTCGAATATAAGCTGCACCCCAGTTTTCCTCTTGAATTTTTGGCAAAAAATGTGCGGCCTATACATGCGTAAATACGGTAATACAATGAGCTAGTATCTGACTGACTGCTTCATTCGCACGCCAGGATCTTGATGTGGCCAAAGTTGTTGGCAGAAATCCTCAGAAAATAAGGATTTCTTTAGGAGAGAACAATCTTGCATCCATGGACTCAACAGAGTTTTTCTTCAACATCCTGTAGGCTCAGCCCTCCAGAATGGCAGAAGCATTTGAGACTCCTGAAGCTTTGCAGGCTGCTGACAATCCACAAGCAGGGGATTTCCTTGAGGTCCATCATGAGCACGATTTCCCCCACCCCACTTCTTGAACAAACATCTTGCACGCCTACTGGGCTCTCACATTGGCAACTCTCCACATCGAGTAAAGACCTCGGCAGACTTTGTCCGCACATCAGTTTCT